CTTTATAGCTATGGTTATAACTTTCAAATATGAATGATATAACTGGTGTTGTGCTATTTCTTCACACTTTACTCAACAAAGGTAGTTTGGAATATTTGGATATTGGAAACTTATTTACCTCTCTTGCAAGTATCAGCCTTTTTTTTCCTCCTCCAGCAGGACGAATTTTCCATTTACAAACATTGGTTGTAATGTTTTCATGGAGTAGATCACACTCAGAAGTCCTCAAAAGACTCAAAGGAATGACAAATTTTCCAGCTTTAAAAAAAGAAAAGCTATTATTTTCTTTTAATCAAACAAATGCTTTGTCTGCTCCCAAATGTGTGGAAGGGAAGATTGATCTTTTTACACAAGTTAAGAATATAGATCAAAATATAAAATGCATAAACAGATATCAGTGTTCCTGCAATGTTTAGACTCTAAGTAATGGAGTTGCTTATTTTGTGAGAATACTAATTATATGGGGAAGTATTCCTTACATTCCTCTTCTGTATTGCAAGAACACCTCCTCTTCCTTTGCTTCATTCCTCCAGAGGTTTTCATGTACTTACTATCCATCAGTGTCTATCCATATTGTTATAGTAGTCACTGTGCAAACCCATAGTGAGATACAATCCTTGGCAGTAAAAACTTGCAAGCAATTGATGAATAACAAACATCAAGAACACAAACAGAAAGGCATCAAGGAGGCAAAGCCTTCTGAACAATAGACCAGCAACAGAATTGAAAACAGAATATACCTCTTTTAATTCCTGGTGAAATTGTCAGTGAAAGTTCCAAGAATATTCAGTATTCTGTTTGCTCCCCTTTGCCACAGAGCTGAGATTCACAACGTGCTGCCACACTTGTCTCTGCCTACATTGTGGTGCTATTGCCGTAGAGTGAGGTGGCAATGTGAATGCTTGTAATTTATGACTTTAAAGTTGATAGCTGTAGAGTATTAGTTTCTAGTGCAAAATGAAAAATATGTTAAGAACAGATGCTAAAAAGGAAAAAAGAAAAAAAAAAAGTAGAAGTGGCCTGAACTGGAAACCTGGATTGTCATGCTCCAGGAATAAGCATTTTTCCTCTCCATATTTCAGCAGAGGTGTTTGGACAGCAGATATATTAATAGGTTGTGAGTTTCCAAATAAATTTTATAATTATCTAACTTTTTGTGGACTATTTAGGGGTGATGGGTAGGAAGGAGAATCCTGCTTTAATACATTGGATTATCTTTGTTAATGATTTGTGATTTTTTTTTTCAATGCAACCTTGTGGATGAAGTAATCAAGATCCATGCTTTTGCACCACCCAGGTGCTCTTTGCTGGCACTTTATTGCTTTGCTATTTCCATTTCACTGAATATCATAGAATGATCCTTGATTTACTAGAAAGGGAGTTTTATTTATATGAAGATATTTGCACACATTCATTTCCATTTCCTATTTGTTTTCATAATTCAGTTGCAAGTTGAAAATTCACCCTTTCTCTTTAGTCTGATGTGTCTCTTAAATCCAGGCAAATTAGATTGGACAATATTGTTCTTGCTTTGCTGTTGTTTGCCTTTCTGTCTTCCAGAATGAAGATGCTTAGAGAAGGTTTAATATACTAGTCTGGTATTGTTTAGTCGTAATCCTTAGTTCCAATGAGGTCATTGAGAAACTGAGGCTGGAATTTGTCATATTCATTTTGAAAGCAAGTAAATGACTGAGCTCTCACTGCAAGGTGGCATAAATGCAATCTTTAAAGTCTGATAGAAAGAAATCTAGTTTGATGAGGCCAAAATTATAATACTTAACAACTGTTTATTTTCCTACTTAGTGCTAATTTCTCCTGTTGTTTATTTACCAAATAAAACCCAAAAAAACCCGAGAAGAACAAAACCCATTTAAAAAGTTTCATTTTCTCACAAACAAATGTAACAAGCATAGGAATTCTCAAGCATTAGGAGATTTTTCAGTTTATAATTGCCTTACTATAAAGGTGGTGAAATGGATGTAATTTTTAATATGCCCATTTATATTGAGTATGATCCATGGAAAATTGAGCAATTAAGTGAAGTTTGAATGGATTGACTGTTCTGTAGGTGTGTGAGATGTGAATGTTACCTTTGTTCCCATGCTATGATAGAGTATTATTTCTGAAAGATCTGGGTCTGTTTTGGTCTTGTTGTTTGTGCACAGGGAATTAAGCAGCAGGCAAAAATTAAATATTGCAAAGCTCTTTCATTCACAGCTTGCTTTTCTTCTTGTGCTGAATAGGGTCTTCAATAGGGGAAAAACAGAATCTTTAATTATAGATTAAATTGTGCTGTATGTATATACTTTAGCAACTTGTGAATGCTAATGTTCCCTTTTGCAACTTCAAGTAATACAGATTTTAAGTGAAAAATATTTATAGTTAAAAATTAAAATTCTTTGTTTTTCTTAAGGTTAGTTGCGGTACTTAAGACAAAGCAGGAATAAAGTTCCTTGAGTAGCTGATGTAGCCTCTTTTCCATGTAGACCATCCTCTTTTACTCTCCCTCATATACCAGCAACAAAGAGGATATGATTGCTGCAGATAATATCTGTTCATAACTTCTAGGGCCACGAGTATGATCTCTACACTTAAGCATTTATTCTGCAAAATGTTCTATGTAGCTTCATCTCCAGCCAGAACTGGGTCATTCATCTAACTAATTCTGTATTTAAATGGATGTGAAGATTTATACCAAGCTTTTATAGTTTGGATGAAAAGTCTTTAGTTTTCATATTTCCATTAATGATAAATTGTGACATGATCGTGTTTTATGTTTGCTATTTTCTGCTACTGTCACTTGTTCTAGTGCATCACATTAGGTTAATCATGCACAGTTTTACAAGTTAGACAAAAGTCTAAATGGAATGCATTTAAAATGAAATAATGGAGATTAAGTATTGATATTAAAAACTTGACACAGATTATTTTACAGAATGTAAAGTAAAATATTGCCTTAAAAATTGCATTAACTCAGATAAATATTAAACAGTAAAGCATGAAATGAAGCGTGGAGGAGAAACTGTTACATTTAACAGTGTTAACAGTGTTTTTCCAATCTAACAGATGAAAAGATGAGCTGAATCATTTCTTTTATACATCCTTTCATTTACCAAGCTTCAGAATGGTTGGGAGTAAATAACTATATAGCAGGAAAATGTTATCAGTAGCCCAAATAGTCATTTGATGTAATGTTCTGTTATGGGAGATCAGAGTGAAATCTAAAGTACCTACAGATTATAAGGAACATACACTTAAGGGAAACTGTGTGGTCATGACTGCAGAAACAACGTCAGGGTGTGTTTTCACAAATTAATTTAAAGCAAAAAATTAAAAATCTGTGTTTTCTTACAAGTATTAATGCTTACAGGCTGGCTAGTCACCTTAATTGCTGCTTCCAAAATATTTTCTGTGTGTAGAAAAGAATAGAAGCAGTAATTGTGAAATAGATTTAGTATTCTGCATATATATTAGCACAGAGTGGAAAAGTTGAGTGAATCTGAGAATAGTTTTAGCAGCTTTATTTCTAAAGGATGGAACATTTTTGTGACTTGTAAATTTAATGATAAATGATGTTTTAATTATTTCTCATTTTATTAAATACTAGTCTAAAATGAAGTAACAGAAATTATTTCTTTTCTCATAGAAATATGACTTTTTTTTTTTTTCTTTGGCTTTACAGAATATGTCATGCACAGTTGGATAACATGATTTTTTAGAAATCTTAAAAAGATTTAATAGCTTTTTTTCTCAGCAATGATTAGTTTATTCTGCTCAGAGGAAGTGCTGTGTTTGCTGGTCTTTCTATCCATGTTGTAGGAAGATTCTGAAACAAACTACAGCACCCTGAAAGTGATGCACTTTCTGAGGGAAAAAAACATATTATCTCAATTATCAACCTATTAAAACTACATTGAAATTTTGCATTAGTCAGGATTGATACAAATTCTTGTAAAAAAACCCAAAACTCTGAAGCATCAGAGCTAACTGCTGCTTGAGGTAATGTTTATGGTTAGTGCATCTGGAGAGAAGAATATTTTGACATATATTGTGTGTTTTGTGGAAAGGACATGCATCTTCTTTCCATTGTTCTTTCTGATTAAAAAAAAAGTGTGAAAATAGAACTGTTTTATGAAACAACTTTCTTGTATTTATAAGCATGATGTGGTTTGGATTTTTTTCATGTATACACATGGGCTATAATTATAATGCCAGTTAAATTAGCTTCCTAAATTGTGGATAACATGGGCTGTATTTTCTATAAAATGTTAGTCCTAATTCCTTTTCTTAAGTAGTTTTTGTGCCACTCAACAAAACTGCAAAGAGAGCACATGTGGAGCCTTAAATATTTTTTTACCTCAAGTGCTTTATAGATGGGCTGTAAAAGCACATTGTGTAACATAATAAATTGTATGGAAAGGAACCACATGTTTTCGAAGTTAAAAAAAAAGCATTTTAGTGACCTGTGTAGTATGTTTACATCCATATGGCATGTTTTTAATCCTGGTTACTTACCTAACCATTCTTTCAATTCCTGCATCATATATCAAATTTTCATACTTCAGTGAGTGCTATGTCTACTCTGGGAAAATTTCTTGCTGTTTAGAGTTGATAGGCTTTAAAAAACCCTAAAACTAGGAAGATGCCCCAATTCCATACTTAACCCTGGGGATTTTTGTTTAGAGGTGATATAAAATAAAATGGTCTTTTCTCTTTGCTACAGTAATTTCTAAAGCATAGAGACTTTTTTGTTTAAATTTCCTTTTCCCACCCAAAAGCCATATGTATGCAGAGTGCATGCAAATCACCTCTATGAAATGCAAGTCTCACAGTAAGATGCTGAGAACTGGGGGAAACAAAACCCCAATCTCCCCTCCCATTCCATAAAGACAGTTTCTTTGTGGAGTTTTTCTCTCTGAGGAACTTCCTGGTACTTGGATACTCTGTCATCTGTAATTGGATTGCAGCCCTTTCTGAATACTGTTTTCTCCTCTTGACAGCATGGGGTAACCTTGGAAATGTTCTCAAGAGCCAGAGCAAGATTGCAGAAGCTGAAAGCGCCTATAGAAATGCCTTGTACTACCGCAGCAACATGGCTGATATGCTTTATAATTTGTAAGTATGCATGACTTTCCTGGGGTTGAATTGTCTTTGAAGCCTGTTGTGAATGGAGCTATTGATTTACTTGCTGGAGATGGAGACGATGCTATTTGTTGCTTTGTAATAGTAATTTCATTAATTATGCTTCTCAAACTATGGGGTGGACAGGACTTTTCCTTGGTCAGCATTGTCCTATATTCATGTAATGGTATGGAGAAGGTAAACTTACAAATCTGTTTGCTTTGAAAGAAGAAAAAAAGCCAATCCACGGTGAACAAAGTACTCATAAAGGAGTTGTCAGCTGTAGCCCTTCATCTGTTTCTGACTTGGCTAAATTGTAGAGATATTGGTTTAGACTTCTTTTTTAAGTCTGAATAAGACGTCATGGGTGGAGTGTGTGTAAGCACTTCCAAGCATAGACCAATACCCCTCTTAGCTTCAGACATCTGAAATGTTAAAATAGCAAATTACTTTTCTCCTGTGACTGACTTCAGAGCAGCGTAGGTCAAATAAAGTTTAATTACTAGAACCCCGGTGTAGGTGAGTAAGAGGATAAATAACATGAGCATCAAAATGGTTATACAGCAGGGAAAAAAGATTTCCTAGCCCATGAATGTACTAAATCATGGAAGCAAGTGTTGTGCTAAGCTTCTCACTGAGGTGTGTTCATGCTGTGTGCCCCAGCAGTGTGGGGACTGATTGCATAGGTGTCCTGGCTGGGTATTGTGCCTGTTCCTGCTCAGCACTGCTTGCTGTGGTGGTGTTCGTCCTTCCTTCCCCTCCTGCCCTGACCCAGCCAGCCCAAGCCCCCAGACTGGGGCTGTGTGCAGAACAAGCTTGTCATGTCCACTAGCCAAATGCTTGTTCATGATGTGTGTGTAGGACAAAATCCAGGTGACTGCCATTCCATAGGTAGTAATATGAAAATAATGTCCCACGTGCAGTAGAAAAGTGTGAATGTTAGAGAAATAACATATGCAAATAGTAAGCCTCTTCAAATAAATAAATGAACAATGTTCTGCCTGTAAGACCAATTTAAAATGGCGGTTTGCAAGAGCTGAAAATGAAGTTTGCCATTATAGACTTTTTTCTAATATTTCCCATGTTTAGCAGGGAATAAGTTGCCCATTTCATTAATCTGCCTTTCAGTGAAGCATATTGGAAACTCAAAATAATTTACTTACAGAATTTCTGTTCCAAAATGAATTTCATATCTGAGAATATATATATATATATATATCATACAG